ATATATATATATATATATATAAATTTTGTATGGGAAGTAATTGAATTTTATAATATTTGGTGAGATAGGTTTTAGGCCATTTGTGGAGGCATGCATTGATGCTGAGGAAAAAGGTGAAGCTGTGAAGTACATTTCTAAGCTTGCAGATCCTCGTGAAAAAGCAGAGGTTTATATATATACTTCTTTATATTTTTGGAATATAAATTAAATATGTGGATTTGGAGTTAAAAAATAAAATAAAAATATGTTTGTGGGTGTTGTTGACAAATGACAGGCGTATGCTCGAGTAGGCATGGCAAAGGAAGCTGCAGATGCTGCATCACAGAGTAAAGATGGGGAGTTGTTGGGGCGTCTGAGAAACACATTACAAGATTCAACAGCTTCATCACTTTTTGATACTCTCAGGGATAGACTATCATTCCCAGGTGTTTCCTAGTTGTCATTATCATGCAGTTTGAGAGAGAGTGTGTGTGTTTTTTATGAGTTTGCTATATTTATTATAATAAAAGGGAATCTTGATGTAAAAATTTGTTGTATAAACATATTATTTATTGTAAGTTGAGATTTTGGGCGTGGGTGTGATTTGCAAAATTATTGTTCGGTTTCTTAATTTGTGTCTTTTTTATATTTTGGCTTTGAAATCGAACTCATTCAATAGAAGAAGGAATTGATTTTGGATTTTGGTTTACTTACTAATTTATAAACAGTTAGATACAACTAGTTATCATCAAAGATCAAATCACGATAAATATCCGAGCTAGGCATTACTACTTTTTTTTTAGTTCCATGCTTCTTTAGTAAGTTTACCTAAAAGGTATATAAGAACAAAATGGTAAGCTACAAAGAATGTAGTTAGTAACCTATTCTATAATTAATGTGCTTAACTATCACCAGGTACTCAACTTACGATTCACCCATAAGGCAAGAGGAAATAACATATGACTAACATTAATGCCATATGGATACCCATAGACACCATATGGGCATTGCTATTATTAAATAACCAAATAGATATATATTGCCACCTGCATTGGAATCGTACTGACAAATCACCAAAGAGATATATGTTACCACGTGCATTGAATATCGCACCGACAAATCACCAAATAAATATTTGTTGCCACCTGCATTGGATATCACACTAAAAATCACATATATGTTTCCCGTTCTATCGCCTACTAACACCCAATCTATCTATCAGCATAAATTTCCAACAAATCAATATAATAAATACAAATATTCATCGCACCAGTAGCTATTAGACTCTATGGTCTATTAAGCCTTAGTATATCAAACACTACTGCTTGTTAATCTAGTATCAATTAGACACAATTGTCTACTACACCAAGTTATTAATAACTTCATTAACTATTTATCAACAATCCAATATTAATATTAGTTAGCACCAATGAAATTCATACACTAAATAGATATTGCCTTAAGACACCTGTTATAAGACTCACCAATACCCCCAAATTAGTCACAAGATACCCCTATGTGACGTAAACGTTTCACCAATTAATAGCATAAAATGGATATTATGTATTACACCATAAAATACATTACACTTAAGAAATATTCAATCTCTTTTGCACCTTATACATAGATAATACCAAAAGCACCATATATGACATATTACACCTCATTGGATATAACCATCAAAAGTTAATACATTACATATAACACATATATATAACACTTACTATAAATATTTTAAGGAAATCTCCAAAAAAAATTCAATATTTTGGGTCAGTTTACGGTTTACTCCCAACATTTATATTTTGAACAGAAAAGTCTCGATTATCTAATTTTATATGATAATCTCTCATTTTATGTTGAAAAAAAGTACTGCTTCATTAATTTGGACAAAATTTAAAATAATCGAGAATTTGCTGTTCAAAAAATAAAATTTAGGATTAACCGTAAAGTGATCCAAAATATTGAGATTTTATCGGAGATGTAACATCCAGATCCCGAGAAGAAAAAGAAGGTGACTTTTGGTCTTGGATTCAGCTAGCAACTATTCTTATCATCTTGTTGTACATCTTCTGGACTCTTGTGACATGTGGAGGTGACAGTTGGTGCAACATTCTTTTCTGCTATCTTTTCAGGTTGTAAGGTGAGTTTTCTTACCATCTTAGTGGGTCGAAGGCACCAAGGTCGGCCTACTGTATTGTTTGTGTAGATTGTATGCTATTGTATGACTTTTACTGATGTGATTAAATGATATATGCATAGATACAATCTAGGCTCGGAGTCATTATGAACTCGAGGATTGATACGGACCCGACACAACCATTTGCTATCATTTGGGGTTGATACGGACCTGACACAGTCACATGTTGTTATATTATATGTATGATGTATGTGGTATTTTAGGGAAGCTCATTAAGTCTTGTGTTTACGGATTTGTTTATGGTTTCAGGTACTTCCGGTACAAAATGGAAGGGTCCGGCGTGATGGCTCAGCATCCTCCCCTCATGATAATTTATAATAATAATAAATTTATTGCATGATGCAACATGAGCTAGAAGTAAGCACAAAACAACCAATATTTGTTGATTCAAGTATCAGTGACACAATTAGGACATGCATAGTATTGGGCAATCATCGGGCTGCACTCAAAGTCAAAACAGAATTCAAGGTCAAAGATGACTCACTCACTAACTGAATTTTATGAGTGTTTGATTAAATTTAAGCAATGCACTTATATTATGGTATAATTTCAAAATCTTAAATCAGGTTTCAGAGAAAAGATGGTATTGGCTCAAAGTTTTTACCTTGGCAACAATCAAAGACTGGGATGCCTTAGAAAAGTTTTCAAAGTAAAAAGGCCTCCAGTTGGTATATAATGACTTTCTAAATACTTGTCA